ACGCATGTTTCCTGCCCCTGCCACCACACACAGCAAGGCAATGTCAGAGCCCAGGCAGGCCATGGAAGGGGGCTAGAGGCATCCAGTAAAATGCAGATGGACGTTGTAGGGGTGCTTGGCAGGAATCCCCTCTCCTTGCATTTGGGGGTCCTTGTGCTGGAAGAGATGGGGAGGGGTTTTATGGGAAGGTGTGCAGGGGAAGGTCTCTGTCTCCATCTCTGGGCTCCAGCCAGCTTTCTGGGGCCCTGGTGACCCTTCTCGTCCCTCACTCAAAAGCCCTGTAAACCCCCAGGGCTAACCTCCATCTGAATACTGCCGCCTGGCCCTCCTTTGCCTCTGGTGCCGCAGGACCTTGCTGGGCTGGGCAGTGGGTGTGCATTGGACCCAAGCAGCAAATGTCCTGCTGCTTTCAAATACAAGAGGACGCTGGTGGCAGGTCCAAGGAGCGAGCTGTGCCTGGGCACAGGATGTAGCCCAGGAGCAGAGGGGCAGGGGGAGATGCGTGGACTCGGCAAACCCAGCTCACCTGGCCTGGCATGCTCAGCCTGCGAATGGACAAGCCCTGAGTGCTCCAGAGCATGGGGTCTGTTCATGGCCCCACCTGCACTGACCTCTCCTCTCCCTCTGCAGGGCTCGAGGGTGACAAGAAGTCCATCATGTAAGTGCTGAGATCCTCCTGGGCAGGGGCTTCCTGGGGCTTATGACCACACAGCCAGGCTGTGCTGGGGTACATCCTCAGCTGGGGCGGTGTGAGTCATGGCTGCCAATCCCACCTGCCTGCCCCAGGAAGGGCTTCTCTGAGCTGTTAGCTCAGGACAGATGTGAGGGACAGCCCAAGTAGGTGATCCTCTCCTGGCTTTCCCGAAGAAAGAGGAGGCAGTGGAGCTGTGGCCCCAGCTGGGCCTCGGGGGGATGTCTGTGCTGCTGCACTAACATGGCCTCTTTTGCCCTTTCTCATTGCAGAAAATTTGAATTTAACCCCAAAGATGGGATCGACAACCCTGCCTTGTCACTGGCTGAGGACACAGGTAAATACCCCTATCTCACCAGGGCATCCCTGTGTCAGCACAGGGTTCTGGCAGCTGGGCATTGCTGGAGTCCTGGGCTCTCTCATGCCAGGGAGCTGTGGGGACGTAGACACGTAAAGCAGCAGGGATAGGGAGAACCCAGCCCAGGATGGAATAGAGAACTTATGTTAGGATTCCTGCGGGGCCCTGCTCACGGGCTGTGTCCCCGCGCCGATGGTGAAGACGTGGGGGCG